GTCCTTTATTCTGAAATTAGGTTCTTACCACTTTCTTGTTATGAACGTTTCGATTGTGAAGTGATGATGGGGAAAGTACATGGTGGAAGGTCTCTTTGTTTTTTGAAAGTCATTACCTAACCAACTAAGAAGTTTGTTACTTTATCACATTCTGGAAAGTTTTTGAAATGTTACAGGGTTATAAAATCTTATACAGAGAACCGCTAATTTAATATTATTTCCAACTCAAAATTTTCAGAGTCTTATGCATTTCTACAGCACTTTACAGTTTATTAAATATTTTCACATGTATTATCTCACTTGGTACACTATGGTCTGGGAGATGATCCATTTTGCACAGATTAAAAAATAGAGCTTGGGGAGGGTGAGTAACTTGACCAAGATTACACAGTTTGTTAAAGAAGAGCTAAATTCCAACTAATGTCTTATTTTTATTTACTTATTTTTATTTTGAGATGGAATCTTGCTCTGTCGCCCAGGCTGGAGTGCAGTGGTGCATCTTAGATCACTGCAACCTCTGCCTCTGCAGTTCAAGCCATTCTCCCCACCTCAGCCTCCCAAGTAGCTGCGACTATAGGCACCAGGCAGCATGCCTGGCTAATTTTTGTATTTTTAGTAGAGACAGGGTTTTGCCATGTTGGCCAGGCAGGTCTTGAACTCCTGACCTCAGGTGATCCGCCCACCTCAGCCTACCAAAGTGCCCAGATTATTCTGTCTGCTTTCCAATCTGTAAGTGAATCTGGCTGTAATAGAATGATAAGGAAAGTGTTTTCAATACATAGAATTAATAAATCTGAATTTCTGGAAGACAAGGCCTAAGAATCGAGTCTTTTAAGAGCTCTCCAGGTGATTCTGATAGGTAGCCAAATTTGGGGACAACTTCCAAATGATTGGAGCCTCTGTCTACCTGGCCTCACCAGAAGGAATAGGAATTTTGAAGTCAGACAGAAGTGGGTATCTCTGGGAAAGATATAAAATCTACCTGAGCCTCCAGTTTCTTTATCTGTGAAATAAGGATAATAATGTCTAATATGCAGAATTGTAAATATTTGAAAAAAAGTACCTAGATATGGTAGTCACTCAAAAATGGAAGCTATTATCTTTGCTATTACTGCCTTGTTAGATGCTCTACTATTACTGAGTAAGAATTAGGAATGTATTATAAATAGCAATGATTCTAGAATTTTCCTGAAGCAAATTTACAATAAATACAGGTCACCCAAATTATTTGTGATCTCAGGACAGTCTCCAGGTCTCCGTTTCCTCCTCTGTGAAACAGCAGTATCTGTGAACTGCTAAGCTATCTTCTGGCTCTAGAAAGTCCAGGACTCAAATATTCTATTTAAGAGTTAAAGACTCAAAGAGTCATGAGAATGTGGCTCTTTGTAGAGTATTAAACAGGTGTACTTGAAATAAAGATTAGTGTACATGAATGACAAATTTCTATAGCTATGCTGCCATTTTCTATCAAGGTAGGACTATGTCTAAATCCAAACATTTGTTTACTTGTATGATTTGTTTACTTATGATTTATATCTGCCTATGCTCAAAAATATTTGAAGCAGCTCACCCAAACAAATTATAATAAGACAAAAATAAAACAAGAGAAAAAGCTAAGAATCCCTAACAAACAGGTTAGACAAGGAAGAAAAGGGAAAAATCTGACACGGGAAATGATTTCTTTAGGAAATTAAGAGAAGCCATTTATGAAAACTGCACAATTGCAGGTGCATCACGTGAGGTCAGGAGTTTGAGACCAGTCTGGCCAACATGGTGAAACTCTGTCTCTACTAAAAATACAAAAATTAGTTAGGTGTGGTGGCATGCGCCCGTAATCCCAGCTACTCCAGAGGCTGAGACAGGAGAATTGCTTCAGCCCGGGAGGCAGAGGTTGCAGTGAGCTGAGATCACGCCACTGCACACCAGCCTGGGCGGGACTCCATTTCAAATAATAATGATAATAATAATAATAAAATTTAGCTTTAAGATTACTGAACATGTTTTAAAAAATATAAAAATAAGGGTTTTCTTAATTTTTATTACCAAAGACTGAAAATATTTATCATCAATATATACGTGCAATTTAAATGAAGGATTTTTGTCTAAGTAGAATGGAATTTATATATTTCAACTATTTTTTGAGGTGGCAGTGTCTTTCAGCTTTTCTTTTGGTATCTTCACTATTGTTCTTTTAAAAGATCACATACTGCATGTAAGTATTCCATCTCTACTCCTGTATCATCTTGTTATCCTCTGTTTCTCTACTCATTTTATAAAATATAAGTAGGTTTTAATCATGAAGACACAGGCTGTGATGGTAGTGGTAGAAAAGTATCCAACGTTGAAGTTCTGGAAAAGGCAAATGTGTGGAGATGGTTACCAGCAGCAGGGAGGAAATGACTCCAAAGGAGCATGAGAAAATTTGGTGGTGGGGAGGGGTTCAGGGAATGTAAAAAATAGTCTGAATCAGAGCTGTCAAAGTCACCCAGACTCACAGAAGTGTACACGAAAAGGATGAATTTTACTTTGTGTAAATTATACACACCTTCATAAACTTGACTTTAAAAAAAAGAATCCAACATGACATCACTTACAAATCCATATTAAGTTTCAGGTTTTGATCCTCTGATCACGTTTGATTTTTTGCTTTCTACCATCTGCCCTAGTTATAATAAAAATAAAAACTCCTTCCTGGTTTCAGACTAGGTTTTCCTTCTGTTCCTGCTATCACTGCCCTGGCCCAAGCTCATGCCTTGCATCACTCGCCACTCTAAAAGCCTCCAACGAAGCTGCTGTCTCCCTCCAGAGCCTTCCACTCCAAGTTTCTTGCAAGAGTAGCTATAATAATCTTTCTAAAGCAGAGCTCTGATTATGTTTTTCCACCATTAAACTCTTTCTTGGTCATCCACAGTTTACCATAGTCCTGTCTGCCATTGAAGCCTCCATGATTCTCTCCCAAACTACCCACCTCTTCTTGTTGCATACCTGGAGCTTATCTGGCTCTCCCGCCAAACTAAATTACCTGTTAGTGCTTAATGCAATCTGTTTTTCCATCACCTTCACTACACGATTGCCTCTCACAAGACAAATAAATGAAGAAAATAATAAAAATAACCAGTCATTATTTCTATATATAAGTCACAATGCTTTTCAAATACGGTATAAATTACATTTACTCCCAAATCTGTTGTACTTATAAGAATCTATTAAAGCATGTTTATACTTGCAACCCAAAGTCCAGTGATATCACTCCATATTTATTATATATGAAATTTATTCTTTAGCAACTGAGATAAGATTCATTTTTAGTTGCGAAGGTACACGAAGCCAGCTGGCAGGATTAGTTTAGGAAAAATATGCCACATTGAACTCCCATGCAGCAGAAACAAATGAGACCTAATTTGCTGAGCTGTCTTGTTTATTTTGGTTCATTCGGCAGGGTAATATAGTAGCAATAACATTGGACTCAATCTCAGGAGATCTGAAACTTAGTCCCATTTCTGGCATGACCAAACATACATGAAGATCATGCATATTTTCTGGTCCTTAGTTTTTTCACTTCTAAAATGGAAATCTTCCTTGCTTTACTCAAACAGTATACATACAGAAGGAGTTATTATTTTTTTGTTTGCCATTCCCTATAACACAGCTCCCCCATCTAAATCTATTTGCTTTACAATTCTCTACTAATCCTAAAGCTTTTTCAGATTTTATAATTTCATTTCAATACCACTAAGAGTCCTAAAGGAGGAAGTAAATAACAAATATCAGAAATGATTTTTCAGATATATTGCTTTTTAGGATGCTGATTGAATAACTCTAAGGCCCTTTCTAGCTTTAAAAGAGTAAAATACCATATTAAAATTTACACCTGAAATTCATCTATCTTTTGTATATAAGGAAACCTTCAGATACACGTTTCATTATCTGCGTTCTCCTGAGACCAGTTTCTCTGCCTCATGATTTTAAGCCTTATGACATCTGAGTATGTCTGTTTCTCTCTTGTATACATAAAACCTTGCCTGACATCTCACATCTCTTAAAGTAATTTACACTACAGTTTTTCCTTTACATCCAAATATAGATGTAAGTTTTAAACAAACGTGAATTTGAAATAACAAATTACTAAAACGTATTTTATATTTCTCTTATATTGCTAGCCACGATATTACAGATTCTGAAGAAAGAAGATTTCATCTAATATCATATTGGGAAAGGCAAGTATTATCAAAATTTTGTGTCTGCTTCATGAAATATGAAAGTATATAGTCAAAGACAGCACACAGAAAAATAATAGCAACTGCTGGCTCTAAAAACTAGACTGGTCATCCTAATCCAAAAAATGGACCCGAAAATAAAGATGGCAAAGGCATGACAAGCATACAAACTCTTCTTTACCTTACTAATTCCCTATTTAAAGTAGACATTGATGAATGGATGGATACCAGAAATCAAACCTCTTTGTAATCCTGTTTTAAAGATTTAACTGGCTGAAGTCCAACCTAGCTGGCTCTTTCATTACTTTCTCTACAGTTTGTCTGAATTTTCAATATAATTGAAATTACAGTAAAGTAGCAACAAGTTCTCCTACAGTTTACTCGGGGATTTTAAAATTGGTCTTACCTGATTTACTCTGAAACTCTGAGTAAATGAAAATCAAGGCCTCCAAATAGACACACGCACACTCACACACTCTTCAGGAATAGCCAATCTAGGGGGTAATTTCAAAGTCTAGTACATAACTGATAAACACGACTCAAAAATTTTTATATTTTATATTCAAGTGATACTCAAGGAGGGAAAAATAACTCAGTCCACTTTTCCTTCACACAATACAACACTTGTACTTTTCACTGAAATCACATCTTAATTTTCAAATATTTCATAATTTATAAACTCTAAAAAGTGTAAATATGAGTGACTCAGAGGGTGAGACGATGTAAACCACTTAAAGACTAAAACCCTCTGGGCAAGTTGAATGAAAACAAAGCAGCACTTACTTGGCATAAACCACTGATGCACATATCCAAAGATTCTGTATAGCAACGAGTACCATCTAAGACCTTAGGTGCTAGTTCAACAACCAGGGCTGTTCCTTTGGCTTGGCATTTGAGTGAACATGGGTTGTCGGGGTCATTAGACACGGGAAGCCATTCATAAAACTGGCCATGGTGCTTGACGTCATTATGAGCTGAGCATTGCTGAGCTCGGAAGTCACCTGCTTCTGGTGGGCAGTCCTGGAGAAAAAAGAGTGAAAGGACATACACAGGTTAAGAGAATACCCCCCAAATAGGAAACTGGAGCAGCCATATGCTCTGCTTAGGTCTCAGAAAGCAAAACAAATGTCCTGGTCATGACAGATGGAACTTATAATACCATCTTAGAAGTTATATAATTATTTGGCTCTCAAAATATAGAAATCTGGGAAAGCAACCACCTCAAAATACATTTTCTGATTGAGTTTAAATGGGAAAGTAATTGGCTTGAAAGTAATTGGCTTGAAATCGTTGGGAAATATATTTTCTAAAAGCTGTCTATTGGCTCATAAATTCTTCCACATTGTACTATCACATTGACTTCCTCATAAGTAGAACCTAGTATGCTCAGAGGGTTAGTTGAAATTATTTCTGTCTCTTTCAGCTCTGATATTGAAAGCTATGACAGTTCTTTATTTGAATAACTAGCAGTAAAAAGTTATAATATTTTCATTCAAAAAGCTTTTGTGGAGTTCAAATTTTTTTGTCTAGAACTTAGAACACATAGTATCTAGAATTAAATGTAGGGAACAAAAAATATAAAACCATGTGTATATGAATTTCTTTGGCTTAAGGAAGCACAGCAGAATGGAAAGAGCATGGACTTCCTCCTCAGATGGGTGGGGGGCTGCAATGCAGTGCAGAATTACTGCCTCTGTTCTAACACAGGGAAGCCTAGGCTTGCGTTAGAACAGAGGCAATAATTGCACAGCTCTCGAGGTTGTTTTGAGTTCATGAGCTCATGCTGGCCAAATATCATCACAGGGAATATACTGAGTAGGTGGGAGCTATTATTACGATTATTTAATGAGGCCTCAGAAGACAAAGGGATGGAGTATTAGGAGATTCTCTCAATTTGAATTTTAAATCATCTTGTTAGAGACCAGTGGAAAATAAGAATCTTTTCAATGTAAGTATCACAAAGGGCAATTTTAAATGTAAAACTATGTCTAACAATGACCATTATCTAATGAATAATAAATCTCAGTAAAAGCAAATAAGATTGAACTTTAAAAAGGCAAATATCGCCTATCCCTTGGAAAGGCTGTTTGATAGGTTTATTCTATTCTACATGCCTTCAGATTAGGATTTACTATGGAAGACCGTTGTTAACTCTCCAGGTGTGGAAAGGCTTTTATTCTAATTTTTTGTTTTAAATAAAGGATTTCCATATGACCTTCAACAGTTCCCGGTTACTACATTATCATTTTGAGAGTTCTCTTATATAAGGTTTTTTTCTCTGAAAAATCTCTTTACATTTAAATCAGCATTCTAAGAACAGCATTGGAATTCTTGACTCTTCCAAACGTTTGTGATACTATTAACTAGCATATTAGGCTCTGGTAGTTGAGAGAGCACAAATTCTAGGCAATGTGGGGTAGAAACAATTAAATATTCATTTAGGATGAACACAGAATTGTTCAAAATACAATATAAAATCTCAAAGACATTTTACTGTTAGTATTGTGTGTTCTCGGAGTGAATAAAACACAGTAGTAAAGGAAAAGAATAATGTATATAACACAGGTATAGATACACAGATAGGTACCCAGCAATGCTTAACATTTTGAATATTGTCTGAAAAGAGTATGATTAAAATTCATTACTTAATAATTTTTTAGATAATAGGATGCAGTTTAAATTATTTAAGATCCCTCAATAGCTGGGCGCGGTGGCTCACGCCTATCATCCCAGCACTCTGGGAGGCCGAGGTGGGCGGATCATGAGGTCAAGAGATCAAGGCCATCCTGGCCAACATGATGAAACCCTGTGTCTACTAAAAATACAAAAAATTAGCCGGCCAGGGTGGCACGTGCCTGTAATCCCAGCTACTTGGGTGGCTGAGGCAGGAGAATCGCTTGAACACAGGAGGCGGAGGTTGCGGTGAGCTAAGGTTGCACCATTGCACTCCAGCCTGGGCAACAAGAGCAAAACTCCATCTCAAAAAAAAAAAAAAAAATCCCTCAATAAATAAATGTTACTTATTTATTTTGTAAAATAAAAACTACAACCCGCAAAACTATATTATGAATTGCAATACAGGTAAATTACGTCAAACCATGACATACAATACAAACCAATTTAATTTAATTTAATTTTTTTTTGAGATGGAGTCTCACTCTGTCAGGCTGGAGTGCAGTGGTGTGACCTCAGCTCACTGCAACCTCTATCTTCTGGATTCAAGCGATTCTCCTACCTCAGCCTTCCTAGTAACTGGGTTTACAGGTGTGTGCCACCACACGCAACTAATTTTTTTGTATTTTTAGTAGAAACAGGGTTTCACCATGTTGGCCAGGCTGGTCTGACCTCAGGTGATTCGCCTGCCTTGTCCTCTTAAAGTGCTGGGATTATAGGCATGAGCCACCATACCTGGCCACAAACAACTTTAAATGTTTCAACACCAGCTCCTGTCAGACCATATGTTCCAGAACACAGAGACACTGATTGAACATTAACTCTTTATGACCTCACATTCCAAAGGCAAGTCTACCACTTTCCTAATTTACAAAATTCTACCAATATCTGCCTAAACCTCGCTTACTGACTTCTGCCCTAAAACAGCTCTATAACTAAAAACAGCCCCCAAGCTCTACATGTAGGTTTCCTTAAATTTTCCCAGTTGAGACATGGTAGAGTCTCTGTCAAGGTGCTGCTTTCCCCTACTTAGCAAGCTTAACAAATCTACCTTTACATGATCCACAAGTTCCCGGTCACTGCATGGGAGCGTCTACAGTTGAACTGACAGTTTAGCAATGTTTAAATTGAACTGACATTCATTCTACCTTTACATGATCCACAAGTTCCTGGTCATTGCATGGGAGCTTCTACATTGAACTGACAGTTTAGCAATGTTTAAATTGAACTGACATTCATTCTACCTTTACATGATCCACAAGTTCCCGGTCATTGCATGGGAGCTTCTACATTGAACTGACAGTTTAGCAATGTTTAAATACAGTATCTTTATTTGATAATACCTATCATCCCAGGAGTCACTTTATTACTCAGTAGTAATGAAGAAATAATGTATATTGTATTGAAGGTACAGTACTTTATTATACTGAAATACAGTAAAGCAGAACATTGAGGAAGTTGTTTGGAATAACTCCAAACCCCTCTTAAAATTTCCTTTGCCTTCTTTTTCTATACAAGTGAAACAGCTGGAAGGGTCAGGCTGAATCACCTCTGCTTTAAAGTAATGAGGGGAACAAACAAGTAAGAGACCTCTTAATATGAACCAGAGATAATTTTCTGAACGTTTCCAATTCCAAGAAAAGTGTTGATTACGTTTTTAAATTGATAATGCAACATCATCATAGTACAGGCATAAAACTCCTACAGGGTCTCCAATGAGTCCCTTCTGTTCAATAAACTGTGTTGATTCTTCCCACCTTTCCTAAAACAAATAAGACCTAAAGGCAGTCAAAGGTAAAACAATGAAGTTAAAATGTTAAGACTTTCAGGTTTTGTTTTCTGTGACAAAAACAGTAAACAGATTTAGACACATCTTAGAGAATCAACATGCAGACAGATGTTCTTATTTGCCATTCACCTGTATCTAATGGCTTCAATAACACCTGTTAACACAGTTCATGGTTTCACAACTAGGGAAATAGCTCTGAGAAGGATAATGCTTATGAACATCTTTACCCAGTTTTATCACTACTGTCTTTTCTTCCACCCATATTTTTGTAGGGGTGGGAAAAATATATTTTCCTAAATTGAGAATGCACTTAAAACCTGGAGTTCAGAGTTGGAAACTGAACTTGAACCTTTTTAGTGTTTGAGTTTATTTGTACTTGGCAAAATGCAGCTTCCTGTTTTAAGAAAAGGGACTTAAGAAAACTCATAAAACAGGTTCAGAAAGCTTCTTGGACATCAAATAGCTTTTACAAAATAACATTTTCATGATTTAAGTGTAAATGAATCAGAAACATATGAATCAAATTTCCCTTGAAATACATATGTTTAAAAATTAAGGGGAAGAAGGATTTGGCAAAATGTTCTTTGTTTGAACCCAAAACATTTCAAGCATAGCTCAAGACATCTATTGAACCCCTAATGCATCTGGGATCATCCAGCTGCAAGAGTGGAAACTCAAGCAGTGATTGTAACCTCTTGTTCCACAGGATGCTAATAAAAATAATTTGTATAGAGATTTACCACCTACAAAGTTTTTGGTTTTTAATTATAAGTTGGTCCATGAAACCATTATACTTCCTAATCCTTTTATGGGTGTTTTTTTTTTTTTTTGGTCCTTTTTTTTTTCCTTTTTGTGGTGAATGGGGTCTCGTCCCTCATTCTCCAGGCAGGTCTTGAAGTTGCTCAGACGGGTCTCGAACTCCGGGAGGCAAGGTATCCTTCTACCTCTACTTCCCTAAGTGCTAGAATTACAGGTGTGAGCCACTGTGCCTGACCCTGATCCTTTTAAAAGTCAGATTTAGAAACTGATAACCTAACAGTTTTGAAAAATACTTAACATCTTTTACCGGGCATCATCTTTGAAATATCAGCTTTTGGAGAGATGCTTTCTGATATCACAAGTAACCAGTTTTAACCATGAGAGGTAGTTTTCTTTAAGGAATACCGAATGTAGAATGTAATAAACATACACAATGTGGAATTTCTGCTCTCATAAAACCCTAGTGGTAAGATTAAAAAACTTTAAATTGGGATATTTAAAATAAAGAATAAAACAAATGAATTATAATTTATATGTGCTTACATGTATTTAGACATTTTGCTCTGAACTTGCCTCATAGAAAGCATTGATGGAGACAATTGAAATAGTTAAAAAGTTTAGTAGCTATATGGACCAAATGCATTCTATCCCCTAACAAGAACCCGCCAAAAATAATAGTGTGGGAGGGATGCACAGGACTAAAGATTCCCAACTTCCAGCTCCTCATACATCTCCAGAAATGCCATCGAATAGCAATGGAGCAAGAGAAAGCAATCTAATACTTTTTCTCTTGGTTTCC